GGTCCTGATTTATAGTATATTACAAAGGTATGGTAATGAAAATAGACACATAGACCAATGGAAGGTAATATAGAGCCAAAAAAAAAAAAGAGAAATCTAAGCATATATAGTCAACCATTGACAAAGGTGCCACAAGCACACACAAGGAAAGAATAGTCTCTTCAATAGATGGTATTGGGAAAACTGGATCTTCACATAAAAAAAGATTGAAATTTGACCCCTGTCTTACACCATATGCAAAAATTAACTCTAAATGGATTAAAGACTTAAATGTAAATTTTGAAACTTTGAAATTCTAGGAAAAAACATAGGGGAAAAAGCTCATTGGCAATGATTATTTTCTACATGGCAACAAAAACAACCATAAACAAGTGGGACTCCATCCAACAAAAAAGCCTCTACACAGCAAAGAAAACAATAAACAAAATGAAAAGGCAACCTACTGATTGAGAACTATTTGTAAAGTATGTGTCTAATAAGGAGTTAATATAAGAAAAAATACAAGAAACTCCTCCAACTCCATAGCAAAACACCAAGTAACTCATTAAAAATGGTGAAAGGACATGAACATACAATGTCTCCAGACATGAATAGTCTACAGATACATGAAAAGGTGGACAACATCACTAATCATCAAGGAAATGCAGAGAAAAACTACCATGAGATATCATATCATAGCTGCCAGGATGGCTGTTATAAAAAAGAGAAGAGATAACAAGTGTTGGCAAGGGTGTGGAAAGAGGGGAACCCTGGTAAACCGGTGGTAGTATTGTAAATTGGTATAGATGCAGGCAAGTTATCACGGATCTTAATTTTTGAGGCCACGTGAACCCTCACATCTGAGTTATTTACCATTGTAACACATTTTTTTTTATGGTTTTGGTTTTCAAATTTATTTTATAGTTGAAATAAAATATATTAGTTTCAGGTGTAAACATATGAATTCAACATTTATATACCTTATGAAGTGATCACCATAACAACACTAGTGATCATCTGCCATTGTATCCAGTTATTATGATATAATTGATTGTGTACCCTGTGCTATACATTGCAGCTCTGTGATGTATTTCATTACTGGAAATTTGTACTTCTTAATCCTCTTCCTGTTTTCCATCCATCCTCCCACCCTCATTCCTCTTTGTCAAACATCAGTTTGTTCTCTTCATCTATGAGTTTGTTTTTGTTTCATTTTGTTTGTTCATCGATTTTGTTTCTAGGTTCCACATATAAGTGAAATCATGTGATATTTGTCTTTCTCTGTCCAACTTATATTACTTACCATAATACTCCCTAGGTCCATTCATGTTGTTATAAATGGCAAGATTTCATTCTTTTTTATGACTAATATTCCATTATATATAAATACACATACCACCTTTTCTTCATTCATTTATTGATGAACATCTAATTCTTTCCATGTCTTTGCTACTGTACATAATGCTGCAATGAATATAAAAGTGCAGATATCTTTTTCAGTTATTGTTTTAGTTTTCTTTAAATAAATACACCAGAAGCGGAATTGCTTGATCATATAGTATTTTATTTTTAATATTTTAGAAATCTCCGTACTATTTTTTAAAAATACATTTATTAAAGTTGGGGACAGTGAAATGCGGAAGGGCTTAGGATAGAAGAAGCAACAGAGCCAAGGCAGGGCTGCTTCGGCTCACTGAGAAGTCGGAGAACAGGGGGCCTTGGAGATAGGTTTGGGGGGTTGGCTCTGGATGAGCAGCTGTTGCCCATTGCTCCCCTGGTTGCAAGTGTTATGGGTCTCCTTTAGTTTAGGAGATGCACACCTGAGAGGGAAGAAGAAGGGGAAGGTGCAGGCGTCCTCCAGAGGGAGAGTGCACTCCATACTGTTTTCCATAATGGCTGCACTAGTTTAGGATCCCACCAACAGTGCATGAGCTTTCCCCCCATCCTGACCAACACTTCTTATTTGTTGTGTTTTTGATAATAGCATTTTGATATATGTGAAGTGATATCTCATTGTGGTTTTGATGTGCATTTCCATGAGGATTAATGAGTGTAAATATTGTTTAATGTATCTGTTGGCCATCTGTATGTCTTTTTTTGAGAAATGTTCATGCAGTTCCTCTGCCTGTTTTTACATTAGATTATTTGTTGTTTCTGATGTTGAGTGTATGAGTATTATATGTGCTTTGGATATTAGCTCCTTTTAAATATAGCATTTGCAAATATCTTTTCCTAACCAGTAGGTTTCCTTTCTGTCTTGTTAATGTTTTTCTTCACTGCACAAAAGCCATCCCAATACTATTTAGTGAAGAGAGAGTTTTCTCACCATTGTGAAAGTAAATACTGCCTATCACATAGTTAGTGCTCAATAAATAAGAATCTCAGTAGCCCCCTCTTATCCATGGTTTTGTTTTATGCAGTTTAAGTTACACATGATCAATGGTGGCACAAAAACATTAAATGAAAAATTCCATAAATAAGTAATTTGTATACATATTTATTTACCTGTGTTGATGTTCTCACTGGGTTTATCTATTCTTCCCCAAGTTCACTGAGCATTTTTATAACCAATGTTTTGAACTGGTTACCTGGTACTCTACTTGTCTCCATTTCATTTAGTTGTTTTTCTGGCATTTGATCCTGTTCTTTTGCTTGGAACATATTTCTGTTTCCTCATTTTGGCTCTCTCTCTGTTGTTTCTATGAATGGGGCACAACAGCAACCATTCCCCCATCTTTGAGTGGCCTTGTGTAGTAGCTTCCCCTTTGCAGACATTGTGCACCCGGGGTCTTTAGCCAGCTGAAGCTGGAGGTGGAGTTGGCAGGGGTCACACAGAGTTTGGGTCAAGTTGCACCAGGGCCACCTTGGCAAGCTGGGTGAGGCTGCAGCTGGAGGTGGTGGGTGCACTAGGGGCAAGCCTGCCAGGGCTTTTATATACCAATAATAAACTAGCAGAAGTGGAAACTAAGAAAAACTCCTATTTGCAATTGCCTCCCAAAATAAAATATCTAGGAAGATATTTAACCAAAAAGGTAAAAGACCTACACTGAGAAAATTAAAACAAAAAAAAAATTGGAAGAAGTTACAAATACATAGAAGCATGTACTGTGCTAATGGACAAGAAGAATTAACTTTACTAAAATATCCATACTATCCCAAACAATCTCTAGATTCAATGCAATCCATATCTAAAAAAGAAAAAAAGAGAGAGAAAACAAAACATTTTTTCACAGAACTAGAACAAATAATCCCAAAATTTATGTGGGACCACAAAAGACCCCAAATAGCCAGCTCAATCTTAAGGAAGAACAAAGTTGGAGGTATCATACTGCCTGATAAACTATACTACAAGGCTATAGTAATTAAATCAGCACAGTAGTGGCATAAACACAGACATATAAATCTATGAAAGAAAATACACAGCCCAGGAATAAACCCTCGCTTATATGGTCAACTAATATAACAAAGGAAGCAAGAATATACAATGGAGTAAAGACATTTTATTCAATAAATGGTGCTAGGAAAATTGACAGATATCAAATAAAACAGGAAACTAGACTACTCTCTTACACTATACACAAGAATAAACTCAAAATGGATTAAAGACTTGAATGTAAGACACAAAACCATACAACTCTTAGAAGAAAACATAGGCAGTAAAAAATGACATATCTCTTAGCGGTATTTTTTCTAATGTGTTGGCCAAAAAGTTTGTTTGTTTGTTTCTGTAAGATATGTTGCTGTAGTTGCATTTAGTTGTCTTCAACTTCATTCAAATCAATTTTGTCAGTATTGTAACAACTGTCCTATCAGCATGCTTTAAAACAAAACATCCAAATTGCTGAATTTTTGTGCAGCCATTTTAATATTGAAGATGGAAGAAAATAGGCAACGATTTCAGCATATTATGCTTTATTATTTCAAGAAAAATCTCTTCTCAGAGTTTCCTCCAGTAATTTCTGGGAAATGTGAAAATCAAAAGGGAAAGAATATATCACCTACTATAAAAGTTTTCAAGAATGGCTCAGGGCCTAGCATTTTGCTTACTTATCAGCCAATAAGTTAGCCTGCTACTGTTTCTTGGATGCTAACAGAAGAAACAAGGCTGCTGGATCAGAGAAAAAGGACTTCATTAGGCACAGCAAAGTAATAACCACAAGTTCATGTTCATTTGCATCCATCTCCCATGTCCCTGGGTACCCCAGGGGTGAATCAAAGAGCCCTTAATGGATTTATGCATCTGCAGTGGTTGCACTATGATAGAGAAAAATGAAATTTAGAGGATTTACTTCTCCCCCCCCCCAAAAAAAGAGATTTTTATTGCTTTTGGTCAGCTGTTTGTATTTCACATTATCTCTTGGTCCCAGGGCTGCTCTGTGGGCTGGTTTCAAGGAGGCCTCCTGGTGTGGCCTCTGTGCAGTGCTTGTTGGGGGAGAGGGCACAAATATGGAAGGGGGGTTTGTCTGGCTTCGCCTCAACCACTCAAAATTCCATTGTCCTGTCTCTGCCTCAGGTTCCTCACTGGGCCCCTTGGAGGGAAATCCATTCCCTCACAATGCCTGAAATACCTGGGAACTGTGGCCTGGCTCTTTCCTAGGGGAGCTCCTTCCCAGCACCCCCTTCACCATGCCCACCCCATTCTCCCTGCAAAAATTACTTTTGTTTTGTTAAAACTGCCTGAAACTTCTGTGAGTAAAGAAAACATAAACTAATCAGCACAGAAAAGGGAAGAGAGGCATAAGCAAGGGAAGCCATTTGGGACCAACTCTCTTCCTTGCATTGCTCTCTTCCTGCCACAGCTTGGCCCAAAGCCTGCTGGGAAATTTGCTACCCCATGTGCCTTGGAAGAAACCCTCATCCCCCAGGCATCTGGATCTGGCTTTCACAGACCCTCAGCTGGAAGCACTTAAACCATATGAAAAGAGAAAACCCTGAAATCCCAGACAGTGCAATGATATGGGGAGAGGGACCCTGTGGCCTCAGTAGCCTGCCTTCTCCTGGTAGTGTGTGGAGGGGTGGGGTTACTCTTGGGCCTTTTCTGGGCTTGAGCATTCATCTGCCAGTCCTGGAGCCCCATCAGCCCCTGGGCCCTGTGGGCGGTACTTGTGGTCATATATCTGCTGGTTCAGGCCAACGTCCTGGCTACTCTGGTTGGCGCCCTGCATGCAGCCCATCTGCCCAGAAATGGAAGAGTTGTCACGTTCGTCAGTCCCCAGTGTGGTGTCATCGATGTGCTGCTCGGTGCTGGGAGCCGTCTGACTGGCGTCATGCCTGACTGGCTGGCCCACTGATTGGTGCCCATTTGAGGCTGGATGATATGCTGGCCTGCTTTCGTGGTGGCGCCATCAAAGTTCTGCTCCTGCTTCTCCAAGCACTTGTCACAGGTGTCCTCGCCACACCACAGCCCCTTTGCCTCAGCCTTCCTTTTCAGAGCCAGAAGAGACAGCTGCACCTGACGCATGTCCTCATTCTCACACAGAATTCCGCCCGAAGAGGTCCTCCTTTTCCACACCCGTAGTTTTCCATGGCCTTGATGAATTTGGAAAGGTTGTCTCTCTGGCAAAACTTTATTGGTGAGACTTGAACCCTAGCAACTGAGTCCGGTTGCAGCTCATTCATGAATGTGCACAGGATAACTCTGTCCTTCAGACCCTCTTGAAAGTTGGGACAAATAGATATGTCTGTAAGTTCCTGGGTCCAGAGGTGAAGTTCCTCCTTTTCAGGGTTATCTTTGGACTGCACCCAGTTCTTGAGATCGTCTTCAGTAGCTGCGGCAGAGGCTTAGGTGGGGATGGGTGGTTTGTGTCGTTGGCGTAGGTGGGGTAGGCATCGTGGTCGTCCATCCATCCAGCGGCAGGGTGGGCATGGGTGGGGTCTGCAGGGTCAGCATAGTTGAGGATGGTAGCATATGCACGTCCCTTGGCTGAGCAGGTGTGATAGCTGGGATGCCTTGGGAGTTCCTGCTCTTATGAGGACAGTATAAATTTATACTTTGTCCAGAGAATAAATTATTTTATCTCTCAAGGTTGCTTACTGCAAACACAAACTTGAGAACTGATCCAAGTAAAGAGAATTCAGGGCAATGCATTTTTGGCCTATTTAGCAAGAATATGCAGGACACAGTTGGGACTAGTGTAGGCAAGTGAAACATTAGTATGCAAAATTTAAAGAGACATTTACTCTCTGTGTCATGTAAGAACAGGAGCAGCGTTTTTTATAAACCTGAGAGTTAGTGCCTCCCTAAATTTTGTGTCTTAGACACTTCACTTACTTTGCCTTAATCCTGGCACTAGTGCCTGGATACTCAGAATACAGACTGCTCCTCAAAGCACAGGTATCTAAGGGCTGGGATGACCTTTAATAAGGCCATAGCAAGGAAAATTTAATAAGGCCAAAGGAAAATTTTCATTTGTAGAAAAAGAATAGTAGACATACTTCCAGCTATAATAAAATAACTGGCACTAGAAATGCCCTCCTGGAATAAACAATAATAAAATCAGACAACAAATACTTTAAAAAATGTTTAGATATTAAATAATAGCCTGCAGGAGGGTTATGATCCTGCAACAAAGAGAAACAGTACAATTTTCAGAGCATCTGTGTTGAGACTATTTATAGATTGCCTAGCAGAGAGGAGAGTCCTATGGGCAGAGCTGCATTATTACCATGAAGGGACAGTGATCAGAGTTCAGGGAGGTTGAACTCTGATTTTTGTTTCTTCAGAATACCAGAAAAAAGGAAGCTAGGCAAAAAGAGCTCCAGAAATTGACATAGGTGTTCTCTTGAACTGGTTGCTGAATACTATATTGTACATGAGGTCAGGTAAAGTACTAATAGTACTATAAGCTGGACAGTTCTCAGAGCTGAAAAACATTAGAGTTCCAACTGTTGAGAGTGGAGACACCTTTTTTTTTTTTTTAAGTAGGGAGCCCAGAGCAGCTTGGGTAGAGAGGAATCACAGCAAGGTGGTGGCTGGAGTACCTGGGTGGGCAAGACAGCACTTGGTGGAGTAAGTGGTCCCACATTTGAGTGCAGATCAACTGGGAAGAACAACTGGGGAGTGAGACAGACTGCACAACCAGGGTTCTAGTGGGGAGAAATAAAGCCTCAAAACCTCTGACTGCAAAAATCTGTGGGGATTGAGGCAGAAGGAGAAACTCCTAGCCTTACAGGAAAGTTTTTTTGAGAGACCCATAGGGACCTGGAATGTACACAAACACCCACCTGGGATTTAGTACCAGAAGGGCCCCATTTGCTTGTGGGTAATGGAGGAAGTGACTGAAAGCAGTGTGAGAGCTGAGCAAGTGGCATTGTCCCCTCTCAGAAGCCTCCCCCACATATAACATCACAATGCAGTGATGTGGGTTGCCCACCCTGGTCAGTACCTAAGTCTCTGCCCATACTATATAACAGACAAATTGAGACAAAAATATGGCCCAAATGAAAGAGCAGATCAAAGCTCCAGAAAAAATACAAGTAAGCAATGAAGAGGTAGCCAAGCTATCAGATGCAGTGTTTAAAACACTGGTAATCAGGACGCCCACAGAAGCAGTTGAGTATGTTTGGCTGCAAAATAGATGACAAAGTGAAGGGCGTAAAATGTGAAATAAAGGAAACTGTACAGGGAACCAACAGAGAAGGGAAGGAAACCAGGACTCAAGTCAACAATTTGGACCAGAAGGAAGAAATAAACATTCAACCAGAGTAGAATGAAGAAACAAGAATTCAAAAAAATGAGGAGAGGGTTAGGAACCTCCAGGACATCTTTAAATGTTCCAACATCCAAATCATAAGGGTGACAGAAGGAGAAGAGGAAGAGCAAGACATTGAAAACTTATTTGAAAACATAATGAAGGACAACTTCCCTAATCTGGCAAAGGAAAATAGACTTCCAGGAAGTCCAGGAAGCTCAGAGAGTCCCAAAGAAGTTGGACCCAAGGAAGCACACACCAAGGCACATCATAATTAAGTTACCCAAGATTAAAGATAAGGAAAGAATCTTAAAAGCAGCAAGAGAAAAGGAGACAGTCACCTACAAAGGAGTTCTCATCAGACTGTCAGATGATTTCTCAAAAGAAACCTTGCAGGCAAGAAAGGCCTGGAAAGAAGTATTGAAAGTCATGAAAGGCGAGGACCTACATCCAAGATTACTCTATCCGGCAAAGTTATCATTTAGAATGGAAGGGCAGATAAAGTTCTTCCCAAGTAAGGTCAAGTTAAAGGAGTTCATTATTACCAAGTTCTTATATGAACTGTTAAAGGGACTTATCTATGAAAAAGAAGATGATCAAAAATACAAACAGTGAAATGACAATAAACTCACAATTATCCACATCCAAACCTAAAAAAAAAAGCAAAAATAGAAATGAACTAAGCAAACAACTAGAACTGGAGCAGAGTCACAGGAACAGAGATCACATGGAGACTTATCAGTGCGGAGGAGGAAAGGGGAGAATGGGGGGAAAGGTACAGAGAATAAGAAGCATAAATGATAGGTCAAGAATAGTATGGGAATTGGAGAAGCCAAAGAACTTACATGTATGACCCATGGACATGAACTAAGGTGAAAAAATGATGGTGCAGGGGGCAGGTCACAGGGTGAAGGGCACATAAAAGGGAGAAAAAACTGGGACAACTGTAATAGCATAATCAATAAAACACATTTAAAAAAAAGAAAAATAAGTAGGGAGCCCAGAAAGATTGTGTCAGTAATAGGACTAAACCAGCTTTAAGAGTAAAGGCTACTTTAAACCTGCTCTATATCCAGTGGAAATAGCCTTTAAATGAAAGAAAGTAAGAAAAAAAGACTTTTTTGACAAACAAAAGCCAGTAGGATTTTTACCAGCAGATGTGCAGAAGAGGAAACGTTCAAGTTTCCTCAGGTGGCAGGACAATGACCCCAGATGGAGATGTGGGTCTGCACAAGGGAATGAAGAGTACCGGAAATGGCAGAGTGCGTGGATTTAAAAAGGCTATTTATTTTTTACTTTTAAATGTCTTTAAAAGATAACTGGCTGTTTAAAGGAAAAATAATAATAATATACACAAGGTATAGAAGTAAATATATGACAAAAATGACACAAAAATTGTTATTAAAGCATCTCATTGGAACATTCTTACGCTAGTCATAAAGTATGATGATAATAATAATATAATAATATTGGTTGGTCCTGGGTAGAATAGGATAAGTTAGAGATGCATATTGTAAAACTCAGAACAACCACTAAAGAAGGGAAACAAAAATATGTAATTAATAGGTGAATATCAAAGATAAAATAAGAAAAATTCTTAATCCAAAAGAAGGCAGGAAAGAAGAAAATAAAGAACAAAACTAATTGTTAATAAATAGCACAATGGTACATTTACGCCTAACCGCATCAATGGCCTAAACCCCTGGTGTGCAATATAGTAGCTACTAGACACATGTGGCTATTGAGCATCTGAAACATGGTTAGTGCAATTGAGGACTAAATTTAAAAATTTTATTTACTTTTATTTATTTTTTAATATATTTTTTGTAGACCTTATTTATTTTTAGAGAGGGGAATGGAGGGAGAAAGAGAAGGAGAGAAACATCAATGTGTGGTTGCCTCTCCAGCACCCCCTGCCTTGGACCTGGCCTGCAACCCAGGCATGTGCCCTGACTGGGACTTACACAGTCAGCCATATGCTTCTCAGTCCAGTGCTCAGTCCACTGCGCCACACCAACCAGGGCTATTTACTTTTAATTAATTTAAATTTAAAAGTGATACTCCAATTATTGGAAAACTCTTAAGAATGCTTAGAACAACTTGGGTATGTGAATCTACTTTTTCAACTATAAATTTTATGAAAGCTAAATACAAGTAAATTATTCCTGAAAAATATTTAGTGTCTGAATTGAGATGTGCTGTAAATATAAATGCATACTGGATTTTGAAAACTTGATATAAAACTGATATAAATTATATTAATAAATTTTGAAATATTTTTGATATGTTGAACAAAAAATATATTGTTAATATTGATTTACAATGTTTATTTTTATTTTTAAATGTAGATGCTATATAGCTTAAAGTTGCATATGTGCCTTACATTTTATTTCAATTGGAAAGTGCTGACCTAACAATCTAATTAAAAGACAGAAATCATTCCACTAGAGAAAAAAGTAAGACCCATATAAACTTTCTGTAAGAAATTTACTCTATGTATAGATTAAAATTAAAAGAATGGGGGAAGATATGTAAACATTGGTCATAAGAAAGCCAGAGTGGCTATATTGCCATTAAATGAGTACAATTGAATTAGAAATATTACCAGGGATAAAGAGGGATATTTTATAACAAAAAAAGTCAGATCATCAAGAAGACATCAAGTTCCTAAATATGTATATGCCTTATAGCAGAGAACAAAATAGAGCACACTGACAAAACTGAAAAGGAGACAGAGACAAGTGTACAATTACACTTAAAATTTCAACACTCCTTTCTTAGTAATTGCTGAAACAAGTAGACAAAAATCAGAAAGGATTTTGAAAACTTCAATAATGCCATCATCCAATTTGACCTAACAGATATTACACAACATTGCACCCCAAAATAGCAGAATACAAATTCACTATAAATGCACATAATACATTTACTGAGATAGACCATATGCTGGCATGAAAACAAGTCTCAGTAGACTTCAAGGGATTATAAAGCAATGGAAAATCATGTTCTTTGACCACAGTGCAATTAAACTAGAAATATCTTGAGAATTCCCAGATATCTGGAAAGTAAATAACATTTATAAATAATCC